TATCATGCCCCCTCTCGCGTTCCACCGTCACCCTTCCCGCGGTTCCCTCCTCCGCCACCTCCGCCTCCTAGCTGTTCCCTTCGCCTCCTTTATCCTCGGACCTCTCCCTTCCTATCTCCTGCTCGGCCGCCTTGATCTCTCTCCTCTCCTGCGAACCGGGTGAAAGAAAAACGCCAGGTTAACACACGGCCGCTGATTCTCGGGCGCGAGCGCGAACGCGAACGCGCGCACGCTCGAGCTACTCGTCGCGCGGTCTACGATAATGGACGAGATTATAAATGAAACGAGTAACGGCCGAGAGCATTCCGACTGTTGCGCGGCTGTTGCTCGTTTATTTATATCGCCGCGGTGAACGCGCGGTGCCGCGCGTTTGCCTCCATTAACGATCGCAGCCAGTCCTTGGTCCGCGGTGCCGAGCCGTCCGAGAAATTCGAGGAGCGGAGACACGGATTCCCGCCGCACGGAAATTCCCGGCGCGGTGTTATTCGGATTCGCACCGGCCATCGGTGAATCGAACGCTGCCGCTGCCAACGTTGCGTGGATCTTGCGTGAATCGGAACGGATATCTCGTTGAGCGGTGTGGACTTGTAGGCTGTGCGGTCGAGAGTTTACCCTTTGCACTCGAAGGGCGCCTTACAGTCGCCACCTGATTCGACGCGGTAAACTTTCAAACTTTCAAGTCAATATTAAACCTTCTGCAATGTATCGACACATGAAACATCGAAGTAAAATAGTTCTGTCTCTTAATCTATATCGGATAATCAACTGTGTTAGTTGCGAAAAATATCGTTCATATTTAGTCAGAAAGTAATGAATAGTTTTCATGGAGAATATCGTCGAGTGCAAAGGGTTAACCCCGAACAGCAGGAAACGAGCACGCAGATGACTCAGCGTCATCTGCTGAAAGTTTCATATATTTCGAAGAATCTTCGTCCGTAGAGGGTTAACGCGTTGTGATCAGGGGCGATTCGTAGCCATCGTTTGATTTGTAGAGTAGAATTGTAGAGTTTCGTGTGTAGTGAGCATTGTGTAATCCATCGGGACGTGGAATATTGAAATGAAATAGCTTTGTTTAATTTATGTGGGAATTACGGTCAAGTTGAGTCACGTTGAATGTTTCTAGTGAAAAACTTTCGAGTGCAGAGCATTAACACGTCGAATATCGCGAGGATCTGCAATCTGTTGTGTATCGTTTATTCTTTTACGACGAAGATAGGTGGAATCAATTGTTAATTATTTGGTATCACAGTTCTCACGTTATAGTATTATCTAGTTACCTGCGTTATTAACGATTTTTATTATGATCGTTATCGAGCGAAACACCTGGTATCCGCAACTACTGTGCCAGTCGACGCGTTAGCAATCTATTGTAGTTTTTGAATTTGTTTGTCGGATCAATTTGTAGTGAATTGGGGGAACGAGAACGATTAGTCGAAACAGGTATACTGATTATTTTAGGATTGTTTCTGTGAAGAAAAAAATAGTATAAGAGGATAGAAGTAATAGAGATACGAAGACCGAATACCAGGCTGTTAGACGATAAGGCTATCGGTGTTGTTTACGATTCCGGTGAATTTACTTTGCACCATTCTCGGCAAATATTAGAAAACGAGATATCGAACACGGCACACGGCCGACCGTAATTACTTTTCCAGTTTCAATTACAAGTATGTTCCGATTCCGTGGGAGGTCTGGCTGCGTCTCGGCTCCGTGAACAGCCTTGAAACACCTTCGAATATTTTGCGTTGGGTGTTGCCTTTAAATTACGCTATGTTCAAGTTGCCAGGGAGCACGCGAACGTTACACGATTACAAAGAACGTGCATCGCGAACGTGAGCTGGAATCCTACGGAACCGATCGAATCGCGTCGATTTTGAAATTAGACGAGAACCATTGAAAAAATCGAACGGTCAATTCGAATTTAAATCTGAAACGTGAAAGTGGTAATTCTTGATTTCAAAACGAGAATAAATCGCGCGAGAAACGTCGGTTATACTTCAAATGATGAAATTCCCGTAGCTAGAGTGCGGTAATATGTCGCCGCGTCTACCGTTTTTAGCATCGAAAAATGTAAGTATCACCACTCGCGGGAACGCGAAGCGCGCAAACATTCGCGCGAGCGCGGTAATTTTGCGCCAAAGTGCAGTTCCAAGAACAATAAACTGGCATACAATTGAAGTATCGAAGTAACACTGTACGCGGCCGGAATCGAGAAACACATACGCCTCCGAGCACTTGCACATTATGAAACTGACATAATGACCAGAGGAGGATTTCGCAAGCGGATACCTAGAAAGCGTTACGAGGCGTAGAGAGCGAGCACGCGTTATCTCAGTTTCGATACTGAAATTAAATACTCATTTTCCCGTTTATGGGCTGACGAGCCTCCCACGAAGAGTCGACGAAATCAGCTGATCACAGTACAGGCTGCCGCAAAATTTCAAGCGTAACCCTATTATCATCGTTATCGTCGTAATTTCCCGAGGAAAATATAACATCGCGTTCGCATTCTTCTTCAATAAATTCTACAACGAGGTGTGCATCGATTTTCAAAGAATTCTACCTTAAATTTTTCCACCGCGAAACGCACGATATTCTCCCGAGTAATTTTCACGAGCCAATGAATTTTGGAACGCCCCGTATCTTTTAATCAGATATCCCGAGCCGCGTGTCGCTTTCCACGTGTGCTTATATTCCATTATGCCGTATGAATGAACCCCGTGTCCCTGAATATATTTTGAACGATCGATCGACGAGTTCACGCTCGAAAGCTGCCCGAGAGCGGGCCAGCACGCGCCGCGGCGTCGCGAGTAAAATTGAAGCGGACCGATGAAGATCTACGCGGATGTTCGATCGAACCGTTAATTGCCAGTCCCGGAGCAAACGTTTCGCGATACGGAGCACGCGCGCACAAAGGCGACTTATTCGACGTAAAAACACGTCGATCTGCATACGTCCGCCGCGCCGGCAGTGATTTATGGAGCCGCGCGCGGAGATCGACGGGAGCGAGTCGGCTGAAATCCGACATCATTAGCGATCGTTGCTTTGTGCCCCCGGCATGAATAACTTCGATCTTTTTATTGATGCTTAGCGGTTATCCCCCCGCCGCCGCGGTTGCTCGCTTTAATTAGGGAAAAAAATCGATCGGCCTGGACGGCGATGGTGTGCTCCCTCGCGCTAGATCGCCGAAGTATCCACCCTAATTATTAGACCGCGGAATTTTATGCACGATTATTTCGGGACTCGTTGCACCAAAGAGTTCAGCGAATTTTTTACGAGTCCCGTGTCGTTTTCGTAACCCAATTAATGTCCGCCGAAAAAGAGTATAACTTCTTTTATTCGATTCGGGCGACCGCCAGTCGGTGAGAAGCCGAATTTGCATAAACATCCGCAGCCGACTAATTATTCGATCAATTTTAGTTCGGGATAAATTATATTTCCAGGAATGTGGTACTCTTTGGCTATTTTCTGTTTGCGCTTTTTTCGAGGGTCCTTTGCCATTTTGGTATCGGGTTTCGAGGGTTGTTCGAGACCGATCGGCGGATTAAAATTAAAACACTTTTCCTGCCTCTCTTAATTCACGTCTGTGTGTTACTCTTCCTTATCCGCTATTATCGTTTCACATTTTACGGAATATTTGCCTCGAGTTCAGGTTAGGTTTAATGGGAGCTTGATGACTGCGCCTCGCCTTGTACATACTCCTATTTGCATGCTAATTATACCGTTCGTATTTGCATCTTTATGTGTTGCAATTTTACGTAAGAAAGAGGTTTAAACGACTAACAAATCTTGAACGAGGAAAACGGTTTGCCAGTTTACAATTGTCCGGATGTGAATATGAATATTTATGAAATCAATGATTCGGGAACGGCTCAATCGTCTAGACCCGAATATCGCAACCGTTACGATAACGTATTCGCCGCGAGATGACAACGAATCGGAAAGAGTACAATTTCAATTTGAAAAGTTCCAAGACTGGATGCAACGCTGTTGCGACAGCCGGTATATCGCCCCACTTTTGCCCCGCTTCAATTGAACGCCTAATGCAATTCCTGTTCCTTTCAATCTGCGTGTTTGCTCGGGTGTCGCGCGGGAGACACGGTGCCACGGTAAATCAAAAGATGCAACAGCAGCAACAGCAGCAGCAGCAGCAGCAGTAGCAGCAACGTTTAAATATGCGAGAGAAGAAAACAAACGAAGAAGAGAAAAAAAAAGCCCCCGGGGAAAAAGATTTCGCCGCGGCGAATCAGGGACGCCGCCGCGCAACTTCCTCGAATCGACGATCGTTTTATATTCCGCGGAGCAATCGTAAACCTCATTGCAGTGCGGCGCAACGCGTTGTAATCGCGAATCAACAACGCCTATCGCATTACTCCGGTCTCGCGCGGTACTGTTCAATGGTTTATTGCGTTTCTCTGGCCGCGTTTACACCGGCTCTGCTCCACCCCCTTCCCCCTCCACCCTGGCACCTCATTGTTTTCGTAGACGAAGCATTTCCAACGTTTCCATCTCTCGGAAAAATTCGAATCCATTCGCCTGACAGATCGCAACGTCGATCGGTTGGAATAGACGAGACACGATGTCTACTGTAGAATCGATGTTAATTATTATTATATTATAATACGGTGACTCGATAATCCCTGTTCATTCGAATAATCTAAACGTATAAATTGGAACGATTTCCTTCATGGTAAATCGGAAACGAGGAATCCGAGTATCGGAAACCACGCGACGACTATCGGGGCATTTTCGCACGTTCTTACAAATTACAATTTTTCAAGCCGCCGCTGAGCGGGTCGGCGTAACGCTCAGAGGGGACCGCCGATAATTAATAAGTAATGATTTTATTTGCGCGTTCCCGGCGCACGCGGTTCAGCGTGCACGGTTTAATTAAAACGAAGCCACGGTGTGCCGGTTAATTAAGTCCATTTCCAAGA